AAATCTCTAATAGAAGTTATAGAATCCGAGGAAGGATTGAACCTCCTTTAGCGTTAATAGGCGAGGCTACTCGGTAATAGCGTTTACCCTGCGCTAATCTATCGATACGCCTTCGGTACTAACGATAAACCCGAGGAATTCGACTTCTTTCTTCTAGAAGGAACATTTCTTTCTATTCGTATATAAGGCGAACTTCCGGAGCCGCGTAAGGATAGCGCGTACGTCTCGCACGTAGTCCTCTCGCGTTTTGCTATAAATAAGAATATCGTTAAGGTAGACGATATAGCAAATATTAACTAGGCTAGCTAACGCCCTATTAATGTATCCTTAAAACGTAGTAGGAGCATTAGTAAGCCTAAAAGGCATTACCTTATACTCGAAGTGCCCGTACCGCGTGCGGAACGTAGTCTTCTACTCGTCGCCTCGCTTAATACGAATGCGGTAATATATATCCTAAAGGTCTAAGGACGTATACTATTCGGCGTCCTTAAGCCTATTAAGCGTTTCGCTAATAAGAGGCAGGGGGTAACGATTTTTAATAGTAATCTCGTTTAGCCCCCTATAATCGACGTAGAGTCTTAGACTACTATCCTTCTTTAGTACGAATAGGATCGGCGTACCTGCCTCGCTTATACTAAGCTAGATCTAATTATTCTCTAAGGCTAAGCTTAGGTAATTATAAAGGTCGCTAAGCTCTCTTTTAGAAGAATAGTAGAGAGGTTTATATAGCGGCTTCGTTCCGGGGATTAGGTCGATCGTATACTCTACGTCTTCGGGGAGCTTATATCGTACTTCGGGCGTTATAGTAAAGACGTCTTCGAAGTCTTTAAACTCTTCTAGTAAGGAGGAACCCTTAGCGATATCGCGGAGCTAGCGAACGCTAATCGTATATACGTATAAAGCGTTACGTATATCCTTCTAGAATTCCTATAGTTTCCGTATACGTATCGTACGCGCTACGGCTTCGTTCCTATAGGTCTAAGTATCCGTCGAGCTATCGATAATTACCTTTTAATCGCGCCTCTAAGGCCTACTAAGAATAATATTAGGGAGGGGTATCTTAAAGGTATAGAACACTCTAGTAGTAATACGTTCTTAGCCTATAGAGTCGGCGATCCGTAAGCGTAAATAATACGCTCTATAGTAGTATCCTCGGTCGCTCTAAAAACTATCGGTACTAGGTAGTATAGTATTAACGATCCGCTAAGGCTAGTATCGTAGAACGAATTCTTAAGATACTATATTAATATTAGTAGTATTATCTAATAAGTATTCGATAGCTACTTCCTCTTCTTACGTAATAATTGCTCCGCGTACGCGTCCCGCGGATACTACTACTACTAAGCTACTTTATTAGGATTCCGTACCTATTCCTAGCTCTTAGGAAGTACCTTATCTTTTCCCTTAGCCTTCGAGTCGTTCTTCTTTTCTTTAGCGTTAGCGGCTACCTTACGTACCGTAGGGTTATCGTCTTTCTAGAGATAGCGGTTCGGGTACGCGTTCTTATAATAGCCTTTCTAGTAATAGCTATAATATTCGACCTTACTAATATTATACCTACCTTGCGAGTTATCGCCCTTCGTATACTTTCCGCCTACTCTACGGTCGCGATTAGACTACTATTTATAGGCCTAACTATTAGATCGGCGCTTCTTGCCTTTACTACCTCTAGTTTTAGTATAGTTACAATCCTTGCGTTTGCTAGACAGCTTATTAGGGGTCTCGATATACGTTACAAGCTCTACGAGTTCGTAACGCGTCGTTAGTACTATATAGTATTTAATAATCGCGCTACGAATCGCTAGCTAGAGTTTAACGAGAAGATAGTAGATCCTATACTCCTCGCTATAGTCGCTAAGTTAATCTTCGAGTACTACGAGTTTAAGGGCAAAGCTTTAGACTAACTATCCCTTACGCTAACGGGCCGCCTTATACTCGAGGGTTACGTCTAGTATACGGTTTATAGGGTCCCCGACGTAGTCCCGATAGAAGGTTTTAAAGTCCTAGTAGGTATAATTCTATAGGTCCTTAAGGCTGTTTTTATTATACTATCGCTCCTACGTATCGCCTACGAGGTATATAATACTATAAAGTACCTTGCTCTCGTCTATATAATAGGTAGCTCTAGATAGTATAAAGATAATAGAAAGTTCTTAAAGGAATCGCCTCGACTCCTTAATTTTATCGCCTTTAAAGGGCTTAGGCTCCTTTAGGCGAGGCTTAATAGCCGTAAGACTAGCGACTACGTAGCTTATACTAGGTATAGTAGCTACGCTTAGCGTACTTCTAGAAAGAGGTAGTCGATACGAAACAGATTTAGCTCTCTAAGATTTAGGCCTCTAAATCGACTCGTTAGCTAATTCTTCCTTATTTTCGTTATCGTCGTCGCCTAGAGATAGAGTTATCGTAGGACTCTCGCTAGTAGTACCGCTACTCGGAGCTAGCGTATCGCCGGCGTCCCTAAGAGTACGAAAACGCGCGTTCTCTCGCTTAGCTTCTTAAGCCTATACTTCTAGCCTAAGTACTTCTTACTCGGCTAGAAACTGTTCGAGCTATAGGCGGGTCGCTTCTCGGCGCGCCTAATATTCGGCCTCGTATTATTATATCGCTGCGTCGTTTTCTAATACTACCGGCGCTCCTAGTATATTATTTTACGTAGTTTCTGCGCCCGGCGCATTCGGGTCGCTTACGTTTATCTTTCGGGGTTCTATAGGCCGCTACGAAGAGTAGACAGTTTAGAACTATAAGAAAATAGATATATAGCAACGTATAGAATACTCTCTACTAATCGCCGTAGTAGAAAGTAGAACTAAACTATATCTTTCTAAGAATAGAGTAGAGCGTTTACTATTAACTAGGCTACGTACGGATAGTATATCTACTATACCGGCTACCGAGTATATCTATACGAGCGACCGAGCTTCCCCGCGTATATACTAAGTAGGCTTTACGCTAGCGGGATAGCACTGTAGTATACGTAATAATATTATATAATTGTTATATAGGCTTACTAAGGCAGGATAGAAGACTTTACTTGCTTAGGTTCTTATAGTCTCGCTATAAGCGTTTTAGATAAGATTCGCGATAGGCGTTCTAGATAAGTCTTGCTATAAGTATTTAGGTAAGATACGCTATAAGCGTCTTAAATAGGACTCGCTATAGGCGTTTCGGATAGGACTCGCTATAAACGTTCTAAATAAGATTTACTATAGGCGTTCTAAATAGTACTCGCTATTAGCGTATTAGATTAGAATTACTATAAGCGTTCTAGATAAGACTTATTATAGGCGTTTCGGATAAGACTCGCTATAGACGTTCCGGATAAGTCTCGTTATAGGCCTTTTAGACAAGACTCGCTATAGGCGTTCCGGATAAGTCTCGCTATAAGCGTTCCGGATAAGTCTTACTATAAGCGTTCTAGGTAAGATTTACTATAGGCGTCTTAGATAGGACTCGCTATAAGCGTTTCGGATAGGACTTATTATAAGCGTTTTAGGTAGGTCTCGCTATAAGCGTTCTAGATAAGAATACTACTACTTATAAAACTTAAAAGTACTATAAACATTCTAGATTAGAATTAGTATAGGCTAGCTATAGTAAGTATAGTAATAACTTAATAGTAGTTATGCTAATTAGAAGTGTTATATATATTCTAAATTAGAGTTACTATATATATATCGGATTAGTAAGCGTTTTATATATAGTAATAACTTAATAGTAGCTATAGTAATTAGAAGTATTATATATATTCTAAATTAGAATTACTATATATATATCGGATTAGTAAGCGTTTTATATATAACTATACTATATATAGCTATTACTATAGTACGGCGACTATTCTAAAGAATAGGTAAAGGGCGATAGCGGGCGAAGGCTTAATAGGCTTCGAAGGCTAGGGCTCGCGCGTTCTAGACGGCGGGAGCGACCGCGAATTTTAAAGTTCCTTACGTAAGCTATACGTCCGCCCGATCGGGCGAGTCCTACGACTTTTTTTCGATATTTTCCCTTATATTAGATTAGTAGTAAAGTAGATAAAAATAAGAACGAGAATCCGACTTTTAGCCTCTATACTAACCCTAGCGCGTAAAACATAGTTATTCGCCGGTAATATTAGATACAATAGTATAAGCCTAGTAAATACAAAAATAATACTATATATACGTAAATTCTAGTATATAATATATAAATACTATAGATAATATAGCTAGATATAGCGGATAACTAGCCGGTAGGATAGATTATCTTCGTAATATATCGTACCTAGTATAGACCCGCGCTAGTCCTGTAGTTGACTAATCTGTGTCTTGTGTATGTTCATATCGTAAGCACCGTGCTTGTGGGCCCGGAAGTTAAATGCACTGTGAGTCTACATTACCATTGTTCGGCCGATGGGGAGATGGCCTCGCAGCTGCACCTGCACCTGCCTGCACCTGCGCCTGGCCCGACCTGACCTGACCTGTCCTGTCTTATCCTGCCCCGTCCAATTCTGCTCTCCTGCCCTCTGCTGCGCAAGCTTCATATTCTCCCTCTAGTGTTTCAGGTGTGCTTGCTGGGATCGCGGGTGACGTGGAAACATGAGGCCGCGAGTCGCGACAGCAGAGACAAGTGCACCGGCAGCGAAGCACAGAAGTGGCACTCGCGCAGCTCAGGCATTCCAAGGTCTGACGGGGATTGGTGCATGAAGCCTGAGACGCTGCAGTGAGCAGTGACACGCGAGCGATTGGGCGCGGGCCGGCAGGCACGACCGACACAGGACGCAGGACAGTTGTGGCTGCAGCTGCAGCCGGCGCATCGGCGAACTACACGCGGGATTCTGGAGATCGACGTTGACTCGGTGCTGGCCGCCGTCCCGTTCCCTCGTAATAATGGCCGAAGAAGAAGGCAAGAAGTCCAAGGCCTCGAGTTTCCTGAAGAAGAGCAAGTGGGGCAAGGTGCTGAAGGAGCGGAGTCCTAATGGCGGCGGCGACGGCTACGGCTACGGCGACGACTCGAGCGCGGCTGCGGCTGGTCGCCAGCAAGGTGCTTTTAAGCTGAACGACGATGTCGTCGACTTCCTCAAACCGAGCACGGAGAAGAGCAAGCCCAAGATAGACATTGCCATCGCGAAGCGCTGGCCAGATGCCCATGAGGTGCGGCGAGCAGGCGAGGGTAGCCCTCTGCCGCACGGAGCCGCATTCACCAAGCCCAGGCGGCGGAAGGGACTGACAGTGAGCTTCGTGAAGACGGTTCCGGAGATCATTGGGGAGGGTGGTGATGAGGCGCAGGACCCTCCGAGGGAGATCAGCAGGATGAAGGCAGCAGTGTCGAGATCTGTGTCGGACAGGATGCCTGGCGCCATTGGCGACTGGCCTCGCTCTCCTCCGCTGGCAGAAACCCAGCGTAGACTCCCACCGCCTGCTCAGCGGGATGACTTTGTGCCTCAGCCAATTCGCAGGACGCACACATCGGGCAACGAATTCTCGCCTGCCATCCAGCGCAAGATGCCTTCACCGCCGAGCGACGACCACGACCCGTATAAGCCCAGTTTAGGACGTGTTTCTACTGGCTTCGACCATCTCGACGTGTCTAAATCAACACAGCTGGATACACCCGTAACGCCTCAAGACAGATCAGATGAGATCATGACTGGTGCGCAGCAGCGACAACCGGATCTTCATCCGCCGAGACAGCGACCAGCACAGATCGATACGCATTTGGAAAATTACAAACCTCAGCAAGGATCTGCGACAGCGGCTGGCAGTCTCAGTGGCGTCAAAGACTATTCACAGCCCTCTCCGACTTCTGCAACTCGATCGCCTGTGGCTGAGAAGCGACGACAGATGAGCACAAGCGAAGGCATGGTATTACGACGGGCGAGCATGATGATTGCGGAAGACGATGATTCCGAGGCGTCGGATGAGCAGCCAACATCGTCAACATCGCAAGCACCGAGACTGGCTCCACAACCGTCCAACATATCCTCAATAAGTACTTCGGTACCAGAAGTATTCTCTCCTCCAGATTCCAGTCTGTCTCCCGAAACAGCAGCCACGCCCGATGCACCCAATCCTTTCGCGGACCCAAAGCATATGAAGCGCCACTCACGGGAAGTCTCGCCTGGTGAATCGCGAAGGCCCAATGATCCGGCACAATCTCTCAGACAACAGAGACCTACACGCGAGTACAGCCGATCGCCAGGAGCACCGCCGCGGACAGAGCCTAGAATGGTGCCTCAGATGGACCTACCGCAGGGTCAAGGGCATCAGAGAGTAGCGTCGAAAGACGAGGACTACATGCGAGCAATTCAGGCGCCTGCTGGGAAAAGTTTGGTTCCATCAAGACCAGCGCCTCGACCGTCGTCACAAGATTTCGGCTTTCAAACAGAGAATTTGCGTGATGCCTCGCGATCTCCTCAGCCTCGAGATCGTTATCTAAATCCTGCTCCTGCTGCGCCAGATAAGGCACAATTTTTCACCAAGTCGAATGGCTCGTCGTCCAGCATTAACAGTCACCAACAACGTTCTCCACACTCACGTTCTACATCAAGAGAAGACACTTCGCCAGACTTCCGCCAACAGCCAGGCCAAAGCTACCAGTATCCATTATCGCCGCGCTACCAAGGAGGCCAGATGAGCGCTGGTTCGCAGGATAGGAGTCCGCGATCGTCATTACTTGGACCTGGAAGGGCGTCAGGATCCGCGCCATCGCCAGCACCTTCTACAAACTCTAGAGCAAGACCAGAGGACTATTTTGCAACGCCTTCAGCTCCTCACGGGCAACTGATTCGTTCCCCGATGGCAACTTTGAGACAAGAAGAGTCTGCGCGGCCAGGATCGGCAGGTTCAAATCACTCACGCCCGAGATCTTCCTATTCGCTTCAGCTGGCGTCCGAGAGTAATCCTGCTGCAGATGCTGCGTTCGCAGACTTTGCGGCTCGCGTGGAGCATATGAAAGGCGTCTTTAAGCTGACTGCAGAGAAGGAGCTTCCTAGTGATCGTTGCGCCCCTACCATGTGGCTACGAGCCGGCTTATGGTGGTACCTCGTGGGCAAGTCGGGTCTTGAGTCATTGCTGCAACAGCAACGCAATTCCAGTGACCGTCGAGAGCTTCTGACCCAGGCTCATGTGGATCTCGCAAAAGCATGGTGGATCTTGACAGATCCGCTCGAATCCTATGAATCTCATGATGGCAGTCCGCTTAGTGCAAGTTCAGGAGAATCTACAGATGCTCGCATGATGGTGGGTGGTGTTTCGGCGCTAAAAGCGCACCTCAGAACACTAGCACTCTCAATGAGCAAAAATCGCATCTTACCACCTGAGCAGTCACTGATTCAAGGTCAGAACACAAGAATCTGGATCGACTACCCACGCTTCACTTCGGACGCCATTGCAGTGCTTGGAGGTAACGCCAGCAAATCAGTATTGCTACAAGATTCGAAGCAGGTCCCTGATCCATATGATATGCTGCCTCTCGGGGATGGCCGAGATTACTTTTGCTATGGCCGATTTCCGGTCGATGTCTTTCTCAACACAGAAGACTCTGAGACTGATCGCGTTGTGCTGCCATGCATGCTCACAGTCATGCGCGGACGTCAAGACTTTCCAACTAGCATCTCGATTGCAAGCCAGAGCGAGTTAGTCAATGTCCGCATCCTAGCCAGGCAAGGAGAACGTAGAAATTTGACATGGTCTGATGTAACTTGGAAAGCGAGCGCATTTGGCATGTTGATACACCTGCCACGAAACTTTGACTTGAGTGTGAGAATGCAGGAGCGGGATTTCAGGGCGGTGTGGAATCTGTCTGAATATGCGCGTAAGGTGGAGAAATGCTTGCGGCCAGAAGAAGGCGAGGTCACGATTCACGAGGCACGTCTCGCTGAGCTTCAGTACGCTGATTCTTCAAATCCTAACGCATTTGCGCCTGAAAAGGTCAGAGGCTGCACGGCGCGGGTCTTCGAACGCCAAATCCAGCACGTCGATGGCAGTGGAATTCATAAGGTGCATCGAGGCTACCGGCTTTTACTAGTCACAGACCCTGGGCACAAAACGCTGAGTGCTGTCAGCCATGAGGTCGGCACGCGCACTCCATTCTATTTTGAATACCTCACCGATCCTACAGCGCAGGGCACCACGGCCATGGTGATAAGAATTCGAGAAGAAAAGAGGCAATGCCGTGCATTGCTCGTCTTTCCTGACGCAGAGACGAGACAAGCGCTCTACGAAGTTCTGACCGGCTTGAGTGTTGGCCCTGACGAAACAATTGTGGGCCGAATGAGTCTCACCAGTCTCAGGATTGAGCCTGCATCTCAAACCGCAGGATTCTCGCAATCAGCACATACCGCCTTGCAACAACTTCAATGGCAGAAGCTGGGGGTGACAAACAGCCGATTAGAAGATCCAAACAGTCGGATAGCATCGACTGTCCAGTCTGATAAGCTCAGAATTGTCGCCAGACATTCTCTGGGCTGCATTACTGATCGCCTAAATCTTGGCAAAGGCGAACTTCTCTTGCGCGTGCCTACGTCAGAATCCGCCAGCGTACAGATTCTTCGGGAGCCGCAGCAAGACATGACGATGTCAATTGACACCAGGAATTCGCCACAGCACGTATCTGATGGAGTAGGCCAACTCTTACATGCCGTGATGCAGCAGCCCACCATCCGCACATTCACATTCGCAAGTCGAGAAGACCTGCATACCTTTCAAACGGCCATTACAGGGTATACAGTGCGCTACGATGGACTTGCGAGTAGCTTTGGCATTTCTCGAAGACGCATGGTCGTGCCAATCTACAAGAAGCTGGAAGCGTCCAATGTCCGGTTGCAGATTGTCTACAAAGAGTCGGTCGTCCAACTGCTGGCCTTCATGGAGGAGTTCAATTACGCAGATGCCATGTGTTTCCAGATCAAGTCTACAGATGTGTTCGAGCAGAGCAAAGGAGACAGCAAGGGCAAGAAATGGTCAGTCAAAATGGTCGATGCCAAATTCTCCCTACCGCCTAGAGAAAAGGATGACTCCGAAGAGATCCGACTGAAACAACGATATGTCAACTTGGAAGGCCTTGACTATGCCGAGGAGCATGATGATATAACCATTGGCTTCGACAGTGAACAAGGTGAGTGAGATGTGTGCCACCTTTGCTGATGATTGGTATGCTGATACCATGACAGACCGCGACAGGTTCGCACAAGCTCTACCGGCTGCCACAAGTGTGCACAGGGGCATCACCTTGAAACGACGAACATAGATCACACATGGCCATGCTCGAAGCAAGGTCACATCACTCGATACTGCAGCGTAGGACAGCAGCCGAGACAAGCGTGCTTCTACACTTGGCGGCGAGTTGTTTCTTTGCTGTTCATCAACCGTCGGTGTGCAAATCATTACAGCTTTAGCTGGAACTTGAAGCACCATGCAAACGTGCAAGACACGAACGATGAACGAAGCCCCTGCTCTAACGGATTCAATATCCGGGATTGCTCCGGATATACCAGCCCTTCCAGGAAGGTGGGTAGCAATCTCAACCGGGGTGGGGTCCATGGCATCAACGTGCTAGGGCGTGTCGCAAAAGCTACAACAGCTTCGATTTTGTAGAACCTTCACATCAAAATACCCATTGTCAATCCTCACAGCCAGCGAATTTCCTTTCTGACTCTTCCACTGCCTGCCGTCCAGCATGACAAGCAATGGCGACAGAAGAGGCAATCCCAACACGAGCAACCTTGCCATTCCAAAGCCTGTCGATCAGGACTCATCGCCATACCTCAAACATCTGTCTCTAGCAACTCTAGCCATACACGCTGATGATCAGATCAATCAAAATGTCGACGTCGCACCACCGCTCCACGTCTCCACCACATTCCGTTATCCATCCGACCCCGAGAAACTCATCCGCGAACGCGACATCGACTTCACATCGCTATGCCCACCCGGCGGGCCCATGAAGGGCGATGCACACATCTATTCTCGCCTGACAGCTCCGAACACTTCCCGTCTCGAAGTGATGTTGACGAGCATCCTCGGTGGCCCCGCGCTGACCTACAGTTCTGGGTTGAGCGCATTTCATGCTCTTCTAACATATGTAAACCCGAAAGTTGTGGCAATTGGAGAAGGATATCACGGTTGTCATGGCGTGCTCAGCATATTCAAGAAGCTGACGGGCTGCAAGGTGGTGGATCTCTTTGACGAAACGAGCTGGGATGAGGCTGGCTTGGGCAAAGGCGATGTGGTACATATGGAGACGCCTGTGAATCCTACTGGCGAAGCATACAATGTCGAGGTTTTTGCTGAAAAGGCACATCAGAGGGGAGCAGTGCTGACGATTGACGCTACATTTGCTCCACCGCCGCTTCTCGACCCGTTCAAGTGGGGAGCAGACTTCATTATGCACTCGGGCACCAAGTATATCGGCGGGCACTCGGATATGCTCTGCGGAGTGATTGCTGTCAGGGCAGGGAGAGAGAAAGATTATTGGGGCATGTTTCACGAAAGAGTTTTCCTCGGCTCGGTGATGGGAAGCATGGAAGGCTGGCTCGGTGTCAGGTCTTTGCGCACGTTTGAGCTCAGGGTCAAGAGGCAGTCAGAGAACGCAGAGGCATTGGTCAAGTTCATAGACGATGCTGTACAGCATCGAGGCGACGACGAGAGCAAGGTTGTCCAGAAATTTGTAACGAAGATTATGCATGCGAGTCTACAGAAAGAAGACATGGGATGGTTGGAAAAGCAGATGCCGAATGGATATGGGCCTGTGTTCAGTATTTGGACCAGGACAGAGCTGGCGGCGAAGAGGCTGCCGAGCAAGCTGAAGCTCTTCCATCATGCTACGAGTCTTGGCGGAGCGGAGAGCTTGATTGAATGGAGGAGCATGAGCGACGGCGGCGTTGAGGGGACTTTGCTGCGAGTGAGTGTTGGTGTTGAAAATGTGGAGGACCTCAAAGCAGATCTTGTGCAAGGCTTCAAGGCTTTGGCTGCAGAAGGCCATGCTTAAAGGAGTAGCTACCTCTCCCTCTCTCCATCTCTCCCTCTCTTCCTCTCCCGTGGTGCTGGCGGCGGCGGCGGCAGCGGCGGTGGTGCTAGGGTGCATGCCATAACGTGGTCGCGCTTGCTTGCGCGCATGAAAGTTTAGCCAAGCTTTCCTGACGCAGATCGGAGCGTGCTCTTGCCCTTCCCTTCGCCTGGCACTTATACCGAGCCCCAGCTGCCCGCCCGAGCCCCAGCAATACAGTGGATTATAGAATCCGCTGTTCCTAACAAAATCGCGTATAGAAGCGATAATCTAATCCCCGCAACCATCTCCGACCGGGCAACTATACTGCCGCTAGCTATAAAGCTAAAGATTGTTAGCAAATTAGTAGTATAGCAAAATTCAAGGTGTTGTTAGTTACTATCTACTTAGATCTAAGCGGGTTACGACCTACGGCCTTATAACTACGTAATGCTATATATGCTAGCTTATACTAATCCCTCTGTTACTAACTAGCCTGCTGCTATATATAATACTACTACTAAGTAAACTAATAGTGCTATTGCTATAGTACCTAGTAGTAAAGTGGCCGTCCTATTAGCTATATAAGCGGCCATTATTGTTGTTGCTAGTACTAGTAGTATTACTAAGCAGCCTATCGTTGTTGCTGTTCTAATAACGCCGCCTACTATTGCTAATTGCGCTATTCTTTACGCGCTCGAAGCTTATTCAATTCTTGCCGTAGAAGGTCTATCTCGGAGGGAGGTTAAGGAGGTTATAGTTTAACCGGAAGTGCTTCTTAACGTAGATTATAGCACTCGAAGCCTTAAGGGTAGCAGGCAGGTCTATATAGACGGTTAGCCTTCTAGTAAGGGTACTACTGCGTACGGTACTAGCTCTTTATATACTTGTAGTGCTTAGCAACCCTCGTACGAAGCTAAGTAAGTAAGACTCTAGGTTCTAATATAAAGTCCGTAGTCCTTACTATCGCTATCTTCTGCTTCTTAGCAACTACAGTCTTATTTAGATCGTCTAATTCTCGAGCCGTTACTATACGCTTTATCGAGTATAGTATCGCTCCGCCGGTTATAGGTTTACGGTTGCTATATACTATTGTAGGCTCTCGTAAACGTACGAGCTTCGAGAAGTCGATAAACTAGTAAGCGTAGAAGTAAGAAGGCAATAGCACCGTACGGCTTCTACCTATCTCGAGAAGGCGTATAATCTCGTACTTATAAGGATAGCTATACGTCTTAGTAAGATAGTCGTTGCAGGTATATTAAACGCAGCTATACGAGAAGCCTAAATGCTTAATCTCGTTGCTATTATCGTTAGTCGTAGTCCTAAGAAGGGCTATAGTACGTATATAGAGCTACTACACTTCGAAAAGACAATAGTCGCTTATAACGCGAGAGACACTTGCCTAAAATGGCCTAACGATTGCCTTATTATAGCGCTTTAGGTTCTCGGCAAGTGCGTAGCGACGGCGGTCGTAACCCTTATTCTACTACTTAATTAGTACCTCGAAGAGCGTAAAGATATCGTAGCGACTGCTATAGTTAAGCTAGAGTTTAATACGTCTATAGTAGGACTCGACTCGAGAGGTTGTCTTATAGCTAAAGTGTAGTACTTCGTTAGTCTAGCAGTCGACTATTCGTTACTTATAGCGCTACCAATTCTTATAGAGATAGGCCTTAAATATAGGATAGACGTTGTCCAATTTAATAACGTTATTATTAAACTCGGCCTCGGTTTAACTATAAATAGTATAGACAAACAGCTTTATAAACTAGTTAGTTAAAGGGCTATTAGTCTAGCCGCTATTGTCGTCGTCCTTAACCTATCTAAATTCGCCGCGTTCTTTACGTACTCGAGCGAGTATGTCTTGCTATAGATGCTAGTTACAAACGATATTCTTAGAACTAGGAAATATCTCTTAACAAGCTAGCATTAAAGCCTCTTTACGGTTAGTACCGATAACAATTAGTATAGCGCAACTAGCGGCTTTAAAGGCTTGTTTAATAGATATAAGAAGTTATATAAAATCGGCCTTATTAGGCTTCGGACGGATAAGGCCGACACCGAGCTTAATCGTATCGTTTAACAGTCTAGTAGCGACTATATCTAACAACTCGAGGTTGTATAGGTTAGTCGAATACGTAGTATCTAGAATAAGCGTATATAGTGTCCGCTTAAAGGCCTTAATTAAGACTAGATAAAGAGCTACTATAGATTTAATAGCGCTATTAGGTCTAGTTTGAATATCCTTATAGATATCGTATTCTTCGAGCAATTTAACTATCCGCTCGGCCTAATTAGCTTCTCGTCGTACGTTAAGGTTTCGAAGCTAAGAGATATTATATAGGTCTTATAGTTTAATAATAATACTACGGCCTCGGAAATAGGCTATTATCTTAGAGGTTAGCATTCGTACGGACTAAAGCCGTTCTAATTGCTCGAGGAAGTTAGCCGTTCTTAAGCGGCTTCTATAGATAGTAAGGCTAACAACGTCGTTAGGTCTATAATTATAGTAATAGTAAGCTTCTTTACTCGAATAGCGGATAGTCTAGCTACTAGAAGGGTTAGAAGGGTCGATAGCAACGGCGTAGAAGTAGAACTAACACCCTATCTTCTTAGTTATTGTCTTCCTTCGAGTCGTATTCTACGTCCTTTTATTAGGCTAACTAAAGCACCTATAGATATAGAGATAGCGATATTTAATACCTTTACTATTCTTCCGCGGCTTCTACTCCTTAAACTCGTACCCCTTTACCTTTCTAAACTCTTCCTATATATACTTCTTAAGCGCTATATACGATATAAAGTCGACTTCGCGAGGCATTAGCCTATAGGGGAGCGCTTTCTTCGAGAATAGGTGCTTCTACGGCCTTAGAGAGACTAATCGATATTTAGGTAGAGACATACGCTCGCGCGGCAGCGATAGTAAGCGCGAGCGGCCTCGAATACGTATCTCCGAGACAAATTAAACCTCTTCCTACGACTCGATAACTACCGCCGAGAGCGCGCCTTTAACCTCTATTTCTACCTCTTCCTACGACTCGATAACTACCGCCGAGAGCGCGCCTTCTACCTCTATTTCTACCTCTTCCTACGACTTAATAACTACCGCCGAAGGCGCGCCTTCTACCTCTATTTCTACCTCTTCCTACGACTTAATAACTACTGTCGCTAAAGGCGCGCCTTCTACCGCCGCTACCGCCGCCTCGTTACTACTACCGCCGGCGATAATATTATCGAGAAACTCGTCGTACGATGGAGATTTAGCTATTTTCGATAGATACTAGTAATCTACTATAAAAGGGGGAAGAAATGCGAATTTTAGGTCTATAGTAGAATTCGAGGCGCGACTTCCTAGGTAACGCGCTCCGCGCCTATTAACAATACCAACCAAGAATAGATATAATATATAATAGGTGGAAACAGCACGTAATCTCATTCAGCGCGATTCTATATTAGTATATCCACTGGGGCTCGGGCGGGCAGCTGGGGCTCGGTATAAGTGCCAGGTTCCCTTCGCACCGCACCTTCCCTCTTTCTTCCTTCGCGGCCACAATCGGCAATCAGCAGTGCCATAAAGGCCCCGAGCATGGTCAAGCCACTCTCCTTCAAAGGCGACAAAAAGGTCAAAAAGAGAAAACGCGAAGCCAAAGACGCCGAAGACGAGAATGACGCGCCACCATCCAAGTCCGTGATTCCCGCCAACGCCCCTGCGGCTCCGCAAGATGATGAGAATTGGGTGTCGGCGGACGGCATAGACGATATCGCCGGCCCAGTCGTACTCGTCTTGCCCTCGAAGACAGTCTCCTGTATAGCTTGCGATCAATTCGGGAAAGTTTTCACAAGCGAGATTGAGAATTTGATCGAAAACGAGCCTTCCACCGCGGAACCACATGATGTGAGGCAGGTGTGGATCAGCCAGAAGATCGTTGGCACAAGCAATAAATTCACCTTCAAGGGACACCATGGGAAGTACCTGGCTTGCGACAAGTACGGCTTGCTCTCCTCTACGCGAGAAGCTGTGAGTCCCGAGGAGACGTTCACGCTCACCGCTTCGGAAGCTGTTCCCGCCACTTTCGACATCGGCGCATATGAGAGGTTTGTCTCCGTCGATGAGGATGGAGAAGTGAGAGGCGATGCGGAGACGGCGTCAGAGAAGAGTGCGGTGAGCATCCGCATGCAGGCGAGGTTTAAGCCTAAGCATAAAGAGGAAAAGAAGGAGAAGGTACGCGCCAAGATCAGTAGGAAAGAATTGGAGGCTGAGGTGGGACGGCGATTGGAGGACGACGAGGTGAAGAGGTTGAAAAAGGCGAGACGGGAGGGGAATTATCATGAGGAGATGCTTGATGTCAAGGCAAAAGGGAAGCATGATAAATATGCTTGAAGAGACCATGCTGCTTATTCTTTGTGAGACCAGCAGCACTTGCACGCGATGCGAGAATGGGTCCCAAAATGATAAGACTGCCATCTACGCAAGCATCACATCATCGCTTGGAACCATCCCATGCTATCGCTTCTCATAATCGAGGCGACTGCTCCGGGAAAATGCTCGACTTCGGTCTCCCCTTCGGCGGCCCATCACTAAATTCTGCCATCGGAGCCGAGTTCTCAACCGGCGTATTGCAAGGAGTGAACGAAATTGGCCGCTGCGGAGTTGTTTGAATACGCAATCTTCTGCTGGAAGCGCTTCGCTGGAGTCCATGCTGCCGCTCATGGCCTGAACTTGGATCATCTCGCCTTTCTGGCCTCGAAATCCTACTGAGCGGGCGCTCATGCGCTTCCCGCACTAAGTTACTGATCAGCGGCAACATATTCTCACTGCCATCGAGAGGCGCCGCAGCGCGACGGTGATGGTGAGCTTGTACACCATCACTCAGGAGTCCTAGGCCGTCTGGTCTCGTAGGCGTGCCAGGCTCTGTCTGTGCTTGCTGTGCGGTAGCAATCATGGGTTCTATTGCGCTTCTAGTCTGTGCGCGTTGATTGACTGACTTCGACCAAGTTAGGCTGGGAGTGGGTGCCGGCTCGGAGATTCGTCTAATCGTGGTCTGACGCGGCATCATATCATGCTCATTCTGGTCAGTCGTGTCGAGAGTATGAGAGACATTACGACTCCGTGGTGCAATACCGAGTGTTGAAGATGGGGTCGCTGGACGAGGTTCGTCACGCGGTATCGTCAGTGCCAGGCCGATCCCGCCTCTCTCGGGATGTGGGTCGCTATATCTGTACGAAAAGGCACGTTGTGTTCGATTCTGTGGCTCAGGGTTGTAAGTGTCAAGCTGCTGCGGACGAGCCTCCTTGGAGTCCTGGTCTTCTTGACAAGAGCAGCAGAGGATTCTGCGAACACTTGCCAAAAAGGAGAATTTGAATTGATTCACCTCGCTCTCATCCTGTCCGCCACGAATATGCCATCGCTGTTCGCCGGACAATGCTTTTGAGCTCTGTCGTCGATCGCCGTAAGCTTCCAGAAGCTGCGACATTCTTCGATCGTATTGATTCGTGAGGTCCTGGTGTCTTGTTGGATCTTGCTCCACAGCACGCTGCCTTTCAAGTTCGACTGAAAAATGATCGTCAAGTATCGCGCTCATGTCGGACTGATTGCTGGAAGACGACTCACTGAATCGACTCTGTGGTTCAACTCCGATCGATCTGCCCTGATCGACCGAAACAATCTCATCGACATCTTGAGAGAGCGTTAAAGCTTGCACAGCAGAAGATAGTCGACCAGTCATCGGCAATACAGTACTGTCACCGTCAGTTTCTTGGGAGTTTTGCTCCGCAGATGCTACCCTTGGCCTGCGACGAATGTTTGTGCCAGAATCTACATGTAGGCGACCTTGTGAGGCATTGGTGGTCGGCTGATTCCGAAGCTCCCCACCCATGCCTTCCGGACGAATCTCATCGCGTGGAACAGGTGGAGGCTCTTTTCCTGGGCACCTGTTGTGCAATTCTCTCGTCGGCTCGATCGGTTGACAAGGTCCGGCTTTCGAGCAGCAAAGGATGCTTTTTAGTCTGGAAAGCACCCTCCTCGACTTACGTTGCTCTCCTCCCCTTACAGGCTGTCCGATCAGCCGACGCTGTTGCTGCTGCGCTCCACCGCTAACCGGGTTGGTGCCGCTGGCTGGCTCAGTGCCCCCAATGGCATCCTCATATCTGGTCGCAATCAAGTTGTTAGCAAGGCTGCTTCGCCCCGGTGGGTGTTGGCCAACCGCGACTTCACGACTGGGCTGAACGTTGGATTCATCATCAGCTTGGACAGCACATCCTCCACGAATGCCGCTGACGGAGCCGTTCCGGTCCGCGAGCTCTATAACATCATCACCTGTTATTTGCTGGCTGTAACGGCCATTTCCTTTAAACTGACGCCCTGAATTACCCGGTTGGAGGACATTGATGCCGGCTTGGGTGGCGCTTCGATCTTTACCATAGCCCGGGTACTTTCGTTCGAGCTTAGCTCGCATGACATCTTCGGCGCTAAGTTCCGTCGCCTGGGCCCGCTGTTGATGTGATTGAACCCCACCAGTGTGTACAGACGCACGAGATGGATGTGGTTGGGAGCGACGGCGGTTGCCATGCTGAGCATTACGACGCGATTGTTGTGGTCTAGCGGTCTTGCTTGGACCGCATCCCCCGCCTCTCAGGCCACGAACTCCACGCTCTGCTATACCTGGATCAGATATCGAGATCGTAATTCGCTTCGAAATGCGCATGCGAGGCTTCTTGAGATCCGACTTGAGGGGTTGGCTGCTGGGCTTTACAGCTCGTACTACTCTCATGTGCTTTGGCGGAGGCTTTGAGTTGTGCTCTTCCGGCATGCAAAACAGCTTACGCCACAATTTTGACATGTCGCTGTCTGCCTCGATGCAAGAGGAAAGCAGAGCAGAAATTGTCTAGACCTAGGGATAATACCGAAGGCACAGCTCTTTTCACCTGGGACAAGCTTTGTTGATCACTTTGATTGCTACAGCAGTTGTCAATCAAGAGCACAGTCAAGGCGTTGCAAGAACATTCCTCGGAGAACTCTGAGACAAAACGATCCATGTGGAAGGTGTTACGAGAGAAGTGTCATTCCGAAACCGACGCGAAGAATCTTTTTCTTGTGATGTTCGCAAATGGTATTATACTGGTCTTATACCTCTTTGTGCTCCACACTCATCCTTCCCTTCCCCTCAAAGGCTGCGGCCGCGCCCTCTGGATCTTCAAGCGCATGTGGAACAAGCTGGTCGCCGAAGAGCTCATCCATCTGCTCCAACGACTTGCCCTTCGTCTCTGGGTAGAAGAAGATATAAGCCAACGCTGCGATAATATTGAACGCGACAAATACATAAAAGTATCGGAAGCCAATAGTCGAAAGTGCGTGCGGGGTGAACTGTGCAAAAATGAGGTTGATTGTCCAGTTTGTGAAAGTTGTAATCGCATTGCCCAAGGCACGAACTTCTACAGGAAAGATCTCTGCCGGGTAGACCCAGGAGATAATTCCTAGCGGAGTGTAGAAGAGAGAGAACACGAAGTTCATGGCGACCATGGCGCGTAGCATGTTCTCATTTCCTGGGTTGATGTAGCCGGCCATGACAGCGTTTGCGATGAGAGCCCCTGCAAGACCGACAGCGCTTACGATCAATGGCTTGACGCGACCAGTCCTATCAAGGGTGAGAAGACCTATCGTGCAATAGACGACCGAGAGTGCTCCAGAGATGCCGATGATCATCAATGAGACCTGATCTGAGATGCCCAATAGAGAATAGATCCGTGGGCCGTAGTAGTTGATCACGTTTATGCCTGAAAGTGGCCCGAACGCTTGAACACCACATCCCAACAGAAGTCGCTTGCGCCATGAGGGCTTCGTGAAGATCTTCGTCCACGAAGTCTGGTTCGCGAGGCGGTCGGCCGTCACAACGTCGATGATCTCTTGAAGCTCGAGATCAATCAGGCGAGTGCTATCGTCGGTATCGGTGTTGCGGAGCTTTCCCAGAACGACACGTGCTTCCTCATGGCGATCCTTCTCCACGAGCCAGCGAGGGGATTCGGAGAGGAAATTTATTCCGATGGCGAGGATGATGGCTGGAAGGCACTGAAAGGCGAGAGGGAAGCGCCATCTGGAAGAAGGGAAAGTTGTCAGTATCATGGTGTTTGAGGTAGGGAGAGAACAGGATGGACCAACTGCACGCTTGAGGTCGTTACGAAGGACAGTCCGTAGCCAACCCATTGTGCCACCAGGAAGCCCCAAGACAGCATCCATTGCAGCAGTCCAGATTGCAGACCTCGATACTTGGGCTCGGAAATTTCAGCAGCATACAGCGGAATTGTCGATGTTAACATGCCCACGGCAGTACCTGCGATGAAGCGTCCGATCATGAGCATGGCCATTGCTGCTGCGCCTCCCTGCAGAGCACAGCCGAGCACGGAGATGATGGATCCCACCAAAATGGTCCTCTTCCTCCCCAGGCGGTCTGCCACCAGCATGTTGATGATAGTGCCGAGGATTGCTCCGCCCTGGAAGCAGGATACAATGCCGCCCGTCTCGTTGTCGGAAGGGCTGTTGAAGTATTTGATGAACTCCGAGACTGAGATGGCCGAGGTGATGATACCACTATCGTAGCCGAAGAGAAAGCCCCCTATCGCCAAGAAGGCCGAGGAGTAGAAAGATGTCGAGCGGCCCATGGTGATGCTGATGGCAGTGCACGAGGCAGAGTTGCGTGTGGGTGTTCATCTGGGGGAACGAAGGACGCGATGCGATATGGGGTGCGTCGAGGCTTTATGTTCGTCGTTGGGTTAGCGGACATGTCGCGGGGATGTGGACGGCATAGAATACCTTACAGCATGCCCTGCGTACCGTGTGCGCTACCGATTGCCAATGCGCTCGCTGCATGTCTTTGTCGGGAGACGATGGTGCTAAGCTTGGCCACAGCGAAAGCGCTTCGCTAGCAAATCGCCCGAGACATGCACTAGGGGATGCCCAGGCGCTGGCGCTCGTGGCATAGGATAGGGAAGGCAATGGTCAATAATGGGGCGTAGGGATGTGAATCCACCGTGGATTGGCAATTGTCCTTGTATACACCATGTAATATACGGGTGTATACCAGGTGTACACTGTACACAAGAGAGGGCCCACATTAATACCTCGATATCTCGGCTGGTATCCGCGTATTGCATAACTCCTCTATGGGTGTATACGGTATACCAGGCATCCGACCTCGAGGGCTGTGTACATGGTGTATTACACGCTGTACACACGATCCACTGGATGGTGGGCTCCATCACTAATGGGGCGAGGCGACGCGAGACGACGCGAGGCAGAGGGAAGGCACAAGGAAGACATGCTCGGCGCCACGTGCCCGCCCGTGTCAAGCTCAGCTCTTTCCGCTCGTCGTTCCGTTCGATGCGGCTCAGCTGTGCGAGGCCCCTTCTTCTGTAGAAAAGGAAAATCATACAGGTAACGCGTGTGTAGCATAAGTCGTGGTAGGTAATGTCTATATCCAAGTCTATTTATATATAATGCGATAGCTAATCCCTAACAGGTGCTACCTATAATAGATACTACCTGCAATCTTTATACTAGGCGGAAATAGATAGCGCCTATACTACCTAACTACTAGGCTATTTTTTAATAATATAATTATACTTCCCTAAATGCCTAAAGTCTTAGTCTCTCTAAATATCGTTCCTTTTCTTACTAGTATACCTTCCTCTACCTATCTATAGAGTATCTTCGTTATTTTAAATATAAGTCCATTAGTACTGCTAATAATTATAGATACTATCTATCCGTTTCCTACTAGGTCCTACTCTATATAGAATTAGTCGCAATCCTAGCGTACTTTAGTATTATATACTTAATAGGGACTATCTATCGATATCTAACTAAGAGTCGCCCTACGTCGGTTACTAAAAAAGGAAAACTATATAGGTAGCGCGTATATAGTATAGGTCGTAGTAGGCAATGTCTGTCTCTAAGTCCATTTATATATAATGCGATAGGTGAACCCCAACAGGTGCTACCTATAACAGGTGCCACCTGTTATCTCTTCTGTGTCTTCATTGGCTACGAGTCGACATCGTGCCACCGCCGAGCATCCATGCTCTCCTCCATCGCATCCTTGCCTGCCGTGCAAAGCTAAAGACCCTGCAACTTAGGGCTTCGGCAGAATGCTCCCGATTCTTCGCTGTCTTTTACGCGACGGCATCGCTTGACGGCACTACATGTACCTCCGCCAGGCCCACGCCGGCAATACAGTCGGTCTCGTCAAGTATGCAGCTTCAAAAGAAGGGGTGCAGTGCATGCCGTGCCCTAGTGCCATGCCATGCCAGACCACATGGACGTCGTTGACTGCGGCCTTCACGGCTACCACGAAACCATTGGTATAGACGCCGACGACCTTTATTTTCACTGGTCCTTAACAAGCGACGCTCCGGGAAAAAGACAAACTGCATATCAGATTGATCTCCGAGCATCATCGACCGGCATTTTCCAACCAGAAGCTCCCATTGTCTGGGGCACCGGCAAGGTAATCAGCACCAGTCAACGTAACATTCACTGCAAGCCACATGGAGGCTTGCGCTCTACCACCACCTATTTCTGGACCGTCAAGGTGTGGGACGAACGTGGACACGAGCACGCGTCCAAGATAAATTCCTTCTTCACCGCTTACCCTCGATCACCATATTTACCGCCATGGAGCATGAACCAAACGTACATGCCTCATTCCAGCTTGATCTTTCGTGCTTGGTTTGAGGATGAGGCCAACAGGTGGAAGAGCGTATGGGTCGGAGATGGTACCTTTAGTCATGCATCATGCAAACTTAGCGTTCCACTGATCAGTCCACAACAGGCGCTGACAAACCGATATACATCCGAAAGACCTTTACTCTTGACAAAGTCCCAACTCGACTTGTTGCTCTTGCATCTGGTCTAGGTCATTTCAATCTCTCGTTCAATGGCAGATCTGCATCCAAGCATGTACTTGACCCAGGCTGGACCGACTGCCACAAGACTGTGCAGTATGTTGGCTATGATTTGACCGACCATCTCGTCCAAGGCAGCAATGCAATAGGCGCTCACATCGGCAATGGCTTCTATGCCGGGGATCAGGGAAATCGTTTCTTTTGGCCAATGTACGAGGACCGCACGTATATCAGACAAGGTAACGAGCTTTGCTTCTTCTGCGAACTCCACCTCTTTTACGAAGACGGCAGTCACGAAACGATCACCACTGGACCAGACTGGAAAGTCCACAAAAGTGCAACACTTCTCGCAAATATCTATGCGTCAGAAACTCATGATCGCAGACTGTATCCGCAGGGTTGGGATGCTCCTGATTTCGACGACTCCGCGTGGGATCAGGCGAAACCGGTGACAGGACCACGAGGCCAGCTGAGATATCAGCGACAACCTCCTGTCATACTGCATGAGACTTTTCCGCCGGTGTCGAGACGGACATTGTCACCGGGCATCGTGACTTTCGACCTAGGACAGAACGCCTCGACAATGGTCAGAATTGTCGTGAATGGTAGGACAGGTAGCAAGGTCATCGTTCGATACTCCGAAACTGTTGACGAGGACGGCCTTGTGTTGATGCCTGACCCTTTGTTCAAGGAGTTTGAGACCCATGTCTACTCCGAATTTATCCTCGCAGGTACAGGACAAGATGAGGTCTGGCAGCCAGATTTCTCCTTCACTAGCGCAAGGTATATCCAGGTCGAGGGCGTTGCTTTGGAAGCTGGCCAGAATCTACCAGTAATCCGATCTGTGGTGGGACAGCACATCTCATCGGCAGCACGACGACTGGGTACGATGAAGACAGATAAAGACGATGTCAACCAACTCCTGAATGCTTGTTATTGGACTTACTCCAGCAACCTCTTCAGCTACCATACCGACTGCCCACAAATCGAAAAGTTTGGCTGGCTCGAGGTCACTCACCTGCTTGCAGCTGCTCAACAATATGTTTTCAATATTGAGGCTTTGCACAGCAAAATCCTTGAAGATATCCTAGATGCTCAGGATGGGTCGGGCTTCATACCAAATAGTAAGTTGAGAGAGGGAATGGTGTGAAAGTTCTTGGCTGATTCCCCATCGCCAGTGGCACCAGATTTCCGCTTCATGTGCGGTCCTATGCGGAACTGCATCACGTGGAGCTGTGCCATCTGCTTCATACCTCAGATTTTGAAGGATTGTTACGGCTCTACGCACATGATCAAAAAGGTTTACGCCGCGGCTGTCCGCTTCGTCGAATATATGCAGACATGGGAGCGTAGAGGTGGATTGATAGAGCACGGTTTAGGTGATTGGGGAAGAGATATTGCTTTCGGCAACTTGCAAGCCAACATTGAAACTGCAGTCTACTACAAGTGCCTGCAATGTCTTGCAATGATGGCAGCCGAGCTTGAGCTGGAGCATGATGTTTTACGTTTCCAGGAGTGGGCTGCTCGAATTTACAAAGTGTACAACAAGCATCTGCTTGTCGCTGGAAATGTCTCTGACCCGCTAGCCTATTACACCTCTCTGGACGTTCCTGGAGTGCGAGACAAGACCGCCGTTGCACAGGCCATCGCCCTACAGTTCAAGCTGGTGCCAGTTGAACATATCGCGGATGTACAGAAGACGTTCCTGGAGGCTGTCTCAGATGGTAAAATTCGAGCAGGCGAGATAGGCCTACGCTACCTTTTCAACACGCTCGACGATTTGAGGAGACCCGATCTTGTGCTGAAGATGGCTCGGCAAGAAGAGCATCCTTCCTACATGCGATTCCTGCGACGCGGAGAAACCACACTTTTAGAATTCTGGCAGGACGACTGCAGATCTAAATGCCACGATATGCTTGGCACAATCTACGAATGGTTCTACGCAGCCGTGCTGGGATTGAAGCCCACAAGCGATGCATACAAGACATTCGCCGTGCGACCACCGTACGGATCGGAGTTCGGCGAGGTCCACGGATCAGTGGACTGTCCATATGGTCGCATCGAGGTGCATTACATCCACAAGGCGCATGGTTCTGTCGAGCTCAATATTGTGGTGCCGATGAGTACTGTTGCGACTCTGGAAATGCCCGTGAACTTCACTCGCGGTCTCCTCAATCAGAAATCGGCCATGGGAGGGGAAATAAAAGCAACGTGCAGGTCTTTAGACTTGGAGCCTGGATCACACCACATCAACATCGATCTGAAGCCAATGAAGTAGGTAGAGAAAATGAATCATTGATAAACAAATCACATGGCTCATTGACTAAGATTGATGTCGAACGTAGAGCGAAGGAGATGGCGCAGACGGAAACAAGATTGCTGGTATTATTGCACGACACCATCAGCCACATGTCTAGCGCAGCACCAGGGTATGGACGAGTCGAAGCATATGATCAGAATTTATGCAAACTGTTTGACCGCGGGCTTTTGTTTTCCCATGAGCAGTCCAAACTGTTCTCTCGTATCGAGATTCCTGTGCTCCCTCACCCAGCGCAAGTGATCATGCTCGCGTCCAATACATCAGAACGGGTTCGCCATTGAAATCAACGCGGGCCACAGCTATCATCGGATTGCTATGATTAATCATATCGGTCTTTGATCGAGAGCATTTTGTCCTTCGCGCTATGTATCTAATAAGCGATTACTGTCAATCATGACAACGCTCCTGTCCCAAATCTAGCGAACGGAATGGCAAGCTTAGCCCAACGTCACCTAATGTGCTAGTTGGGCTCTGATAGCCTAAATGCTGCTGCATTGGTAAGCAGAAAATTCTGACTCAAATCATGTGACGCAGCGGGAGAAATAGAAGTGGTGAGAAGAATCTCATTTCATGTCAAGGCTACTTTTAAGCTCACTGGGCTAGCCCAGGACGCTGCAGATACTCAGCCAACGCTAGGCATTGTTTCGCTATCCTGCAGATGTTGTATCATATCATCGCACCATGGCATGCATTGCTCTTGTCGCCCTTAAGAAGCACCAGCGCCAACAATGGTTGGTGGGTTGTTCTTGTTCTTGATGCCACCAGAGCTGGTACCGCAAGCCTCAATGGACTTGACAGCGCCCATGGCCTCGGTGTCGCCCTCCTTGACTTGGCCGAAAACGACGTGACGGCCGTCGAGCCAGCTAGTCACGACGGTGGTGATGAAGAATTGGGAACCATTGGTGTTTGGGCCAGCGTTGGCCATGGAGAGGAGGAATGGCTTGTTGTGGGTAAGCTTGAAGTTCTCGTCTGCGAACTTCTCGCCGTAGATGGACTTGCCACCAGTGCCCTATTGCCATTGCCAGCTGTCAGTGACGCCACTCGAGCTCGGTCAGATATGGATTGCGAGTGCTTACGTTGCCACGGGTGAAGTCACCGCCCTGAAGCATGAAGTCTGGGATGACACGGTGGAACTTGGAGCCAGCGTAACCAAAGCCCTTCTCGCCAGTGCAGAGAGCACGGAAGTTCTCGGCAGTCTTTGGGACGACATCGTCGAAGAGGTCGAAGTTGATGCGGGCAGAGCGCTCTGTGCGGGGAGGTCTAGTCAGCTTCGCATGCTACTGGGACGATGCTCTCGTTTCCGGAAGTGATGGAATGGAATGGCATGGCATGGCATGGCATGGCTTACCCGCGTCGGACTTGTCAACGTTGACGACCTTGCCGCTGGCGTCGACGGTGATCTTTGGACCAGTCCAGGTCACGTCAAAGTAGGCGGAGATGGTCATGGTGGCGGGTGAAGCGTGGAAGGACCGGTTGAAAGTTGGTTGCTGGAGTCGGGATGCTTGGAGTGTGGTGGTGAGGGATGTTCGGAGGAGGGTGGTGGAGCGAAACATGTTGCAAGAAAAACGAGGGAAGAGCTTCGACGAGCGCGGGGCACTGGGACCTGCGGGGCACTCTCAGCAAATGCTGCTGCTGCGCTGCATAACCTTGCGTGCGTGCGTGCGCGCCGGTCGGCGTCGGAATGAACAGGCGCTGGCCTTGGCGCTGGCGTCGAGCTCTGCAACTGCGCCTTTGCGAGGTACCAAGTCAAGTGTTGCATGCATGGAGCCTCAGGCTGCAGAGTGTTGCCATAGCAGAGTCATGAGACTATGGGAGACGTACAATAAGCGAAGCTATCAGAAAACAAGTGTCGGCGATGGAGCAAACGAATCCTGCCGCTGCTGCTTAGCATTGCCAATGCGTGAACATGCCGCGTGTTTTACTCACTCTGGAACAGTCCAAGTACACAGTCAATGCCTGAATGAATCAATCAATCAAATATCACACGTCGATGATGGGATGGTATGTGATGGGATGGATGGATGGATGGATGGGAACGGAACGGAGTGTGCGCTTTGCCTCCATCCATCTCTTGAAAATCCGCAGCGGCACCGGCAACGAAGCCATGACCACGCGCTTTGATTCACCGATCCGGAATTAGCGCGGCCTCGCCTCTCCTTGAATATCCACCCACCTTTCACGAGACCGCCCGCCAGCAACACCACCGCCATCCCTTCGAGAAGCTGACTTTGTGTCTGTATTGCGCCTGACAATCCCGTCGCGATGGATCTCAACAGCCTGCGCGACCAGGTCGCCAACATGTCGTTGTACGACGTCAAGGCAGGCATCCGCAAAGTGCAGAATGGTGCGCTCAAACATGTGCACGCTCGCCTGCGAAGAGAACTGACCGTGGCACAGCTGTCATGAACTACACCGAAATGGAGTCCAAGGTGCGCGAGGCTACCAACAACGAGCCTTGGGGCGCGTCATCGTCTCTCATGCAGGAGATTGCCAATGGCACATTCAATTAGTATGCCACGCCTGCCTGTCCAGCCCTCCCATCTTGCTTGCCGCTGATCGTCCTGTAGCCAACAATTGAATGAAATCATGCCAATGCTTTACAAACGCTTCACAGAAAAGTCGGCAGAAGAATGGCGGCAGATCTATAAAGCCCTCCAGCTCCTCGAGTTCCTCGTCAAGAATGGCTCCGAACGAGTAATCGACGATGCACGATCCCACCTCTCACTCTTGAAAATGTTGCGACAATTCCACTACATCGATCAGAACGGCAAAGATCAAGGGATCAATGTGCGCAACAGAAGCAAAGAGCTTACCGAGCTTTTGAGCGATGTTGACCGAATCCGGCAAGAAAGAAAGAAGGCCCGACAGACGAGAAACAAATATGGCGGTGTTGAAGGAGGAGCTGGTCTTGGCTTCAGCTCGACTAGCGGCTCTGGCAGATACGGTGGATTCGGCAGCGAGAGTGCGGGATACGGCGGTGGAGGAAGCTCCTTCGGTGGTACCACACGAGGCGTGTATGGAGACGGTGGTGGCTTTGGCGGTGAAAGCCACGAAGACTACGACGAGACTGGCCGGTCAAACACACAGGACCGCTTTGAGGAATATGACGAATTTGATGACGGCGGCGCACAAGCTCGACCTGGACGGAGGAAAGCAGATGCTCCTTCAAAGCGGGCAGCGGCAAAGAAGGCAGAGCCTCCGAAACCAAAAGAGCCAGAAGTGGACCTCTTCGACTTCGGCGACGAGCCTGTGGTGTCTGCGCCAGCCAACGGAGCATCGAGCTTATCCGCAACAACACTGTCACCACCGACTGCAGCCCCTTCGGCTCCTGCTGACGATGATGACTTCGATGACTTCCAATCAGCCACTCCTGTCGCGCCCGCTGCACCCGCGTCTCAGAGTGCTCCGAGCATTCCAAAGCCAAACTACAGCTCCTTCTCCACAATTGCGACCACTTCGAACACGCAGTTCGCTCAACCGACACCAAAGTCTGGGGCGCAAAGAGCAGACTTCAGCAACCTTTTCTCAACCACATCTCCTCCGCCAAGCAGTATCGCCACACCTGCTCTGTCATCCCTCTCGTCTCCGAAGCCGACAGGATATCAACCTACGGGACCAAACTACTTCACATCCATTCAAGCACCAGCTCAGAAACCCATCAGTGGCACTGGCTCTGGCGTCACATCTCCAGCCGCTGGCGGCATTGGATCTCCGCCTGTCAAAAAGGCTGGCGGTGATGCATTTGCTAGTCTTCTTTCAGGAAGCGGCATGAAGAAAGGGGCAGGGCCAGCGCAAAAAGGCAAGACAGTGGCAGAGCTCGCAAAAGAGAAGAGCCAGGCTGGCTTGTATGGCGCTCCAGCAGCAGCGTCAATGGCTCAGCCCCAACAGCAGAAGCCGAATACAGGAAGCAGTGGACTTGATGACCTGCTTGGGTAGCGTGAAAGCGTTGTGAGCGAATACTTGTTAACATAGATCTACAGCATCCACATCATCCACCTGTGCACTCGTTCGATATGAAACAGTGAACCAGCGGCATGACAAGCTTCCATTCGCAAAATCGAGTTCGGAGTCCACGTGATGAGCCAGGAATACCCTCAGAATCACCCAGAGCAAGTTGGGCACTAAGTCCCAGTGACGATGAGGGCGACAGCGAGGCATTCACAGAAAGCTTGAGGTCCCCGAGTGCACTAGTCAATCGGGGGGAAGCGCTATCTGCGACGCATACCACGCTTGTAGATGACCTGATCCAGCTCATGGGACGCTTCAACCTTGGTGAAGATGGTGGACTTGGATATTTTGGCTCGCCGAGCAATTTCACTCTGTTGCATAGCCCGATTTCCAACATAATCGCACGATCATTGCAGCAAGTACGGATCGAAGCATCCAGCACGTTGGAAAGAATGCACCTGTAAGGAGACGCGGCCCTTGAATAACGAATGCGGCAGAACATCTGGCAATACAATGTGCACAAGAAGGCCTTCATGAATGAATTCAACGCTGGAGTTTGAGGCCTTCATTGCTCCTCGCTCCTGCTATCCGCTATTCTTGCTCTAGCATCTCGCAATTCTGATCGTCCTGAGAAGCCGGACCTTAGCGTAGCCTGTTCCTCTCCAATGCAAGCATCGGAAATGCCCACCTGATGCGGAGTTCGTCGTAATAAGCTTTTGATCACATCTTGACGCAATATGGCTGTGCGGTATGAAAATGCTCGTGTGCCACACGAGCGGACTGTACTGCCAAAACTTGCTCTCCTCACATTCGCGTCGTCTAAAACAGCAGACCTCGTGCACTATGTCGATTCGTCAGTACAGAGCGGCCGTCTTGCAAGCATGCAGAGCCTTGCTGATTCGACAAGGAGGCCGCAACGCAGAATACCATTACGTATATCAAAGAGGCGGCTGCTAATGGAGCGCTTTTGCTGGGATTGTTGGATCCCTGGATACCCAAACTTTCTTGGGTGAGGCAATTATCGCGAGAACATTCCTCTAGCCCACAAGTATATGCAGAACTGCATCACAGCTCACGGAGCAGAGATGGCACGCATACGTCTACGCGTTGGTGTGACTGCTCGGCGGCGGCCGTGCTCCTCGATTCGTCACGGGTACGGAGTCTAATTGAGAGCTCTTCTTCCCAATGGTGTCAGTTTCAATGTCCAGTATACATAGTTGCGTCCTCATTTGGCCGAAGATTTGATGAAAATGTCGAATGGTAGGGAGTTCATCAAGGTTCAGAGCAGAGAGTGAACCTTGAAGTGAGTCGAATGTGCACGTGCCATGTCGGCAGACTTGCTTCAAGATGCCGACTCTTGGCGCCCGCCCACACTGCGACTCAGAACATCAAACTTGAGAAAGTTCGCACGACGACGACGACCAGGCAAGGGCCACACTACAGCACCGAAAATCCGCTCAACGAAACGTCGCGATGTCAGCCAAGTCGTATGTTACGAGAAGATGCTGCCTTTGCGATTGTCGAGCAATACTGACTATATGCGCGCAGACGAGTCAACACCTCCGGTAACAAGCTGAAGATGACCCTCGGTCTGCCAGTGTACGTCGACTCCTGAACGCCCGTAATCGCGCAAGCGGACGAAATCTGAATGCAAACGGAGAAAGAGCGAGTGCGGAATAGGTCGAATGGTTAGCTAATCGTCTTGCAGCGGTGCGGTCATGAACTGCTGCGACAACTCGGGTGCCCGTAACCTCTACATCATCTCCGTCAAGGGCTTCGGTGCTCGTCTCAACCGTCTCCCGGCTGCAGGTGTCGGCGACATGGTTATGGCTACTGTCAAGAAGGGAAAGCCAGAACTCCGAAAGAAGGTCATGCCTGCTGTCATTGTGCGCCAGAGCAAGCCATGGCGCAGAGCAGACGGTGTCTATCTGTACTTTGAGGACAACGCAGGTGTCATCGTCAATCCTAAGGGTGAGATGAAGGGCTCTGCTATTACTGGACCTGTGGGCAAGGAGGCTGCAGAGCTTTGGCCGGTGAGTACTATCGAGGAAGGAATACACAGTGGGACCTGTACATTGTGCTGACACTCTACTACAGCGTATTGCCTCCAACTCCGGTGTTGTGATGTAAAAGGCTGGATTTGGGAAATGCTGAATGACTGGGACTTTTTCATGCATAAGGAGCCGGCGTTGTAGCTAAGGTGGCTCGTCAGGGCTCAGTGTACAGCCACCGAGCTGGCGGGAGATAACTTACTGGTCTCAAAATACAGATCGCGCTTCATGAGTTCAATGTTGCTCCTTTTCCAGTTTCGACGATGTTCTTGCTGGGCTGTGACCGCCTGGACTCAGCGCCAAGGCAGCCAAGCCGATGATAATGTCGAGGCCTGCTTTCTCCGGTCGATGACATCAACAGCACAGTCGCTGGGCCAAAGATCTGTCCTTAGCTCCGTATGTTTCGAGCGTTTGTTGCTGTGATTCAGCCACTAGAGTTAGGGAGGGAACATCAATGGTAGTGAGTGTCGATTGTCTTCGAAGCTGCTATGCTTTTGATACACAAAATTGGGATTCGGTTCGGTCAACAAAGTCGTCCTACGTTACCACATGTCTGCAGGGTCACTTCTTGATAACTCCATCGGCACTGTAGGGTACCTTGCTCTACGGGCCGAGCTGTTCGAGAACTGGATCGACGAGCTTCAAGGCAGCCATCTAGGCTACTTCATCGCAGAGGAAGAGCTCCAATCACTCCGAGGCTGAATTGAAGAGGGAAACTCATCCGATTTCGATTTCAGAGCTTCAGCCTGATTGCAGACAGAGGTCAAGTGAAGTGCGTCCGGAGCGTTCGAATATCTCTCCGTAGACCTCATGTTATTGTCGCCAAGATTTGTGGTCGCGCTTCAGGTCTCATATTCGCATTCGCAGCAGGCTATTGCCATATTTTTGGACGTTTTGAATACCAGGGTTGAAGTGAAAGATTGAAACTTTTGTCGCATCCTCTCCCTCTGGCACTTGTGAAGCTTCCTGCTCCTGCTCGGCTAGTGGCGTTCGGAAGACTGGCGCCGAGTGGCGGGCATGGGTAGCGTGAAAAGCCGTGAGATAGCGACACAGCCGGTACGTGCATGCAGACATTGGGGATTGGGACCTGGCTGTCATATGGTGGTTGAAGAGCAAGTGCTGGGAAGACGTTCAAGGAGGCGTGCGTACAGAGTTTGCCCCTAGCCTCCTCCATTATGGAGCCTGATAGAGGTCTATGCGATACGGTGGAGAGGCTTTGGTTCAGAGAAGCGAAAACTTTACGCTGAAAAAGATGCTGGAGACGGATGTCACTTTGTCGGTGTGCGCACTGTGCAATCTGCACTGATCGACGCAGATAGCACACTCGGCCAGATGCAAAATATGTGTTTCTCGGATGGCTTGGGTACGCTTTTCAGGCTCAATTCACGATCAGGAGCTAGGATACTGAGAATGCCTTGTCCCCGAACAGCGTCGTTGTGGTGGCTTGGCGGCATTTTTCTGCGGAGGTTGCAAGACCAGCGGCGAATGCTGGGCTGGAGCTGGAGCTGGTGGGGCGAGGTACAGCGTCTTAACGCATCGGAAGGCTATTCAGTGTTCCGCGGCGCGATCTCTCGCACTACGGCCCCTTTACGCGAGGAGCACTTTACTGTATAAAGTATACGTAGCGAGGCTCTAATTGCGGACCGAGTGTAACCCTAGTTATTGTATTCCTAAATTAGACTGCCGGAATTAGCTAATTAGTGTCGCGTATATTACTAAAACCGACTAACTAGCCTTTAAGACGACTATCTTTCTATAGATTTATAATGTATTATATAATGCGCAGTGCCTATAGGTAAATGGAAGGAAGAAGGAGGGAATTCGAACTACGAAGGAGGTTTTTGTTAATTAATTAGAAGTAGGTCTCTATTAGATTAGAGTCGGGGCTCGAGTATAATTATAGAGGACGCGTCGTCGATATATAGGCAACTTTAGTAGTATTTACGCGTATAGAGTCCTATACTGTGTAGTTAGCTTCTCTCTCGTTCCCCTATAATGCCCTACTCTTACTCTAACGCGTACTATACTTAGTATAGCCGTAGAAGAGATTACTTAGGTATTATCCGTACTCGTAGCGCGAGACTACTTCGAGATTAACGCTATACTAACCTTCCGGAGGTATTTAGACCTCTAACTAAATAGGAAGGCGCTAGTACCTTTAAGAGGCTATTCTTACTTAATCGACTAGATAGTAGCTAGCGAGAGCGTAACTTAATAGGTATCTTTCGAGACTTAGCTTCCGAAGTAGGTAGCTTACTAGCTAGAAGTCCTATACGAAGTGTTATATTCTCGCCTACTTTCTAGCGCTAATCGATACCGCTAGGCCTTCGAATAGGCGCTATCTATATACTAACCTCTCGTCTAGCGCCCTATCCTTCGACTCTTAATAATGCTATCGCTCGTACTACGCGCGCTATAGACGCACCTATCCGTCGGTTGCCTTAGTTAAGTATAGAAGAATAAGAAGAATATAAAGTCGTAGTAAGGGCAATAAGGGTAGGCGTAGCGTTAGCTAGACCCGCTAGCCTACGTTACGCTAGTCTACTATACTTCTACTACCGCGATCGTATACTAAGCCTTCCGCCGCTAGTCTATAATCGACTACCTAAATACGACGAGTCTTAGTAGTAGCTAATTAAGCAATAAGAGGCTTTATAGCGCTATAATCTACCGGTAGAGGTTATAAACCTCGATTCTAGCGATTCTAAGCCTCTAAGTCCGACCCCTTAAGTCGACGTTATACCCCGCACTTTAGTAATCTTACTAGCTCGGTAGGAGCTTGCCGGATTAACTAGTAACGCTACTAGTCTAGAAGAGGCAACTCCTAATTCTTTATCTTAATCCTCCGGCTTTAATTTGCTTTCTTAATCGATATAATAAACACTCTAGCGCTTCCTTCTACTCGCTAATCGACCTACCGGATAGCTAGCGCTTCTATTACTGCGTACGCTCTTGTTTAGGACCCCTTATAAGCTTCTATCGTACGAAATCGCTACCTAATAGAGCTAGAGCCTCGAATACTAAATCTACCGGCGAGTTGTCCTTTTATATAAACTTCGCTACGCTATTAAATACCTCTACCGAGTAGTAGGATAGTTAGTCTCTCGTATTGCTAAGTAGTTAAAGAGAGCGTATAAGACTGTTTATAATATATATATAGAATAGTAGACTCCGCGGGTCTGTCGCTATCGATCCTAAGAAGACCTAGATTTAGTACCTATTCTAGTCGATAGCTCGAGAAGCCTGTTTCTTATTAACGTACTACGCCGGCGGCGTACGATCTTTACGACCTAATAATAGAGGGACATTATTAGCTTCGTTATACAAAATACTACTACGAGACGGATAACTTTCCGCGAGATAAGGGACGCTTTAAACCTACTATACTATCCTCGTACTATATCTCGAATTTGCCGTCGATTTAGCTTCTACCGCTACGTCGTACGCCCTCGCCCCTTCTATAGTACACTAATATAACAAAAGAGGTTAGAATAGGCATAGTTATACCGTTACTAGATAACCGATAATTAGGCTAACGTTCTATAGTTAGACGAGTATACTATGCGTAATAGATTATATAAGCGGCTCTTTGTAACTTAGTAGGTTAGTAAGCGTAACCGAGACGTATATTCGAGGCCTCGCTTCTAACGCCTTCCTTACTAGATAATATAGGCCTATATTAGTAGACGTAGCGGCAAAGGACCTCTTATTCTATAGAATACTTTAGATTAGGGCAATATTAATGCCGCTAGCTATTCTTAACGTATTATACTAGAAGTCTGTAAAGAAGTCGACCGATTAAACACTATTATTACTAACAACTCGAGCCTTTATTACAATAGGGCATAGCACCTCGAATTTGCCTTATTCTAGTAAGATAACGCTACCTCGCACCGAGCGGCTTATATAATAATAGCACTCAATTCTTATCGAATTGTCCGTATAGTATAGCTACCTTCTTTACCTAATTTGAACCCTATTAAGAACCTCTAGCGTACTATAAAAGAGGCTATTAAACGGCGCAGAGATAGGCTAGTTAGTCGTAAGCTATTACTAGCAATCCTTAAAGAATATAGCAAGATTACCTTCTAGCAAATACGAGTATAGGTTAATAGTATACCTAAGCGCTACTAAGTCGTTCTTAATGCTAATAGCGGCTACACTTGTTAGTAAATAGATAGAGTCTACTTTGTTACCTATAGTCGTTAAATTAAGCCTTCTATATGGCCTCGAGTTATGCCTCCTTCTTAATCCTAAGAGTTACTAATCCGCCTATAGTCGACCTAATGTTCCAATCGCCTACTTCTACTAGCTACTAGTATATCTATATACTAAGTTTTGTTAGGCAAAGCGTAAAACCTAGCTAGGGGCGTAAAATTAGCGAATTCGCTAAGAAATAGCCTTCCGATACGTTAAGACGCTATAGGTGTACAATAGTGATATAGTCTACTAGCCTATAGATAGTATATACGATATATAATATACTATATATATAGGGGTAGGAAATTTAGCTAGTGTGTATACCTAACTAGCCTATTATTAGTAGTTATCGGTACTAATAGGGGTTAGAGCCGTCGCTAGCTGCGGCAATAGCTGCTTAGCTAATAAGTTAGCTTTAGTCGATTTAGTCGACTAGACCTCTAGCCCTTAGAAGTATTATATTCTTATCGCTAGAATTCGTGTCTTTTCGCGTTAGGTCCGCGTTTATATATAGAATCGCGTATAGGATACGACAGGTTATAATAAAAGGGAACATTTAGTATATAGCTAGAATACTATAGCTAGAAAGGAAAATTTTCCTCGTATCTCGAGCGAAACCTAAATAGTATAGAGGCCTTATTTAAAGGGGATATAATAGACTATTTTATAGTAGAATTTAACTTATTATCCCTATTAATTGATCCTATCTTGCCTATTAGATTCTATCTCTTTTACTAAGCTAAACAACCAACTAAGCTACTATATCCGACAACTTATCTTCTAGCTAATAATGCCTCTTACTAGGTGCCTCGGTACTAGTACTATTGCTAACACTCGGCAAGCGTAAACGAGCGGAGGATCTATACTAGTTACTAGTAACTCGTATCTATTTAGAAGGCAAGAACTACCTACGAGTTAAGTATAACTTTTACGGTAATCTCTAGGTTTCTAATACTAAAGGAAGGGTTATTAGTTATTTGTCTATATGCCGTATTCTCCCTAAGGAGCACTAGTAGGAGTATTAATCTAAGAAGGTAGCTATTAATAAGGATATTAGTACTAAGTTTAAGGCGCCTATTCCTTAAGCTAAGAAGAAATAGACGATTCTAATCGGCGGTAATAGCTTTATTAACTATATATCTCCTAAAGAGTACGAGGTTGCTTATAAGAGGCTAGTTAAATAAATGCTATCGTCTAGTAAGGAGTTATCGTTAACTAAGAGTATTTAGTTTAAATTATAGCTAAAGGCTCTTCGACCGGCCTTTACGCCTTCTTCTCGCTAGCAAATCCGCTATAAGTACCTACTTCGTATTTATAAGAGGCTATAGGCGGAGATAAATGCTAAGATAGCTAAGAGCTCTTATATTACGTATACGACTAATAGTTAGAAGGATACCTAAGGTAGGTCGAATACTAACTATCTCGCGATTACGCTAAGAGCGGCCTTCTTCGTCGGTTGTAAGCTCGCTAGTGCTAATCGTAGTATAGCGGTTAACTATACTAAAGGTCTCGAGCGGTTTATAGCGTAATAGGGCGATAAGATTATCGCTTTAGTTGCTAATAATACGAATATTATAGTAGTAGCCTCGAGGTTAGTATATTTAAAATCCGAGAAGGGCAATCGTAGTAGCGCTATCTATATACGGTCCGCGAGCGGTCCGATTATTAGAGCTTATTTATTAGCTAACAAATTTTTAAGGTTGCAGAGAAGAGACCCTACCTCGTTACCTTAGGTTACTATTCTTATACTACTAAATTGCTTATAAACGATATATATAATTACGATACTATCGATAGCTTCTATACTAAGATTCTAGCAGTCTTAAACTACTTCTAGAACACCTATCTTCTATTTAAGCTTTTGCTATAGCTTAGCGATAGCAAGGTACGGCGATTTTAGAGCCCTAGAAATACTAGATAGTAAGGTAAGCTATATTGCGCTAGAGCGGTCTTCGAGAACTAGTTCTAGATATAAGAACTTTGTATCTAAGAATACTTTCTTCTAGAGGGTAGTAGCGCTAAGCAGCGCGGTACTTAGGACTACGTCTGCTATCTTATTAAGAATAATAGCTTCTAGAAGCGCTTAGACGAGTATATTAAACTAATAGAGCTATTCCTTAAAGTTACTATTACGCTCGAGACTAATAAACCTTCGCTCTTATACGTATATTCTAACTATAGGTAGCTTTAGAACTAGTCCTTTATTAACGACTTTATTCTAATAAATACTATTACCGAAATAATTAGCATTCGATATAACGAGCTATACTACTACCTTATACTCGTAGTATACCTCGTAGACGCTAAAGAGCGATAGTAACCTAATAAACAA